TTATTATTTTTTTTTTTAATCACTTATATGTAACTCTTTTGTAAATTGTACGAACAACTTGAATGCACTTTACACAGTTGACATATTGACTATTTAAAAATCATATAAAAAATAATAAAGTTCTTAACGAGAAAGAAATTAAAATCTAAAGCTCATTGTTTTTAAATAATAATTTGCAGTTATTCAGCAAGGATTGTTATATTAAACGTAGCTTGGTATAGGAATACGTTCGGCAACGTGCCAATTGAAGGCAAAAGGACAAGATTTAGTTACATTTGTTATGAAAACGATAAATCAAAAAATAAAAATCTTTTAAATCAGTGCATCAAGCACAAGATGGAAATTATATTCTCATTTGCGAGAAATTTCTGTTTGTCGTTCAGTCGATGAACAATCAATTATTATTTATATTATAATACGAAGGCCGTTATCTTGTGTTTTAAGATTTTCATTGAGAAATCGTGTTTAGTTTTCTAAGCGCAGCTACGCCACTTTTTTTCTCTCTCTCTCTCTATTTTTTTATTTATACACAATTTTTTCTGCGTTACATTTCGTATAATTTTATTATAGCTATGCTTCTGGAAGTTATTTATCATGAGCAGAGTAGAAGGGGAATATTTAGCCCACTATATCTTTTACGCGAGCGCGTTCGTTTGAAAATGTTCTTGGGTGGGGATGGACAGCTTCGAGTATGTGTAGCTACGGGTGCGCGCATGTGTCCCTCCGCGTGCTTTTACCTATATTTACGCTGTGTGCACGCGCGCGCGCGCGCACGCATGTGTTTTTATAAAATGATTATAATAGAATGTTCTACATATTTATTGTAATGTCTTTGTGGCTGTCGAAATATATATACATTCTACGTGAAAATTGCCTTCAACTTTAAGCTAATACAAAATGTAGTAGTAAGGGAGCGTTATTATTGGACATATTACCTATACTACCCACCATCTATTAAGAAGCTTGCTTTTTTTGTTTTTTTTTTGTTTTTTTAATCTCTCGTATTGTGCATCATATTCATACCGACAATATTAATTATATAATTATTTTCTCTTTCCCCGTCCACCTCCAATACACATACTCAACATATGTCGTGCTAAGTATCTAATTCATAAATAGGTAATAAGGTAGTGGTGGGTAGATAGTAAAATGTCTTCAGGTAGTTTACTGTTTAGAAATAAAAAAAAAGCTAATAGGGTATGTTTATATATATATATATATATATATATATATATATATACATTTCCAATGATAGGTAATGTCAAATAATGGAGAAACATATTTAATGCCATTTAAATGTCATTAAAATGCAGCCTTGTTTGAAATCGAAAAATAGTAAAATATAACCGAGATGCATTAACATTATTAGCCATTGCCAATAGGCGTATAAAAAATGTTTTATGACGCCACGACACGAATCTCAACGTTAAGACCGAGTCCTAGGAAGTGGAAACTAGGAGGTCGAATATCTTTTTTTTTTTGTTTTCTTCTTTTTTTTTCTCTCTCAATAAAGACTCTTTATTTCAGTGAGCCGTAGTCACGCTCTATTTCTAGCTTCATTTTTAGACAATGCAAGGAAGGGGCGGGCGTCTCGGGCAAAGATCCGCTGTCGCCGCCAATGAGATGCACGAAGCGGGCGATAAGTGTCCGGAGGTCCCTGAGTCGCGAGAGAACACGGGGGAGAAACGGAGAGAGTCGAAGGAAAAGCCGTATCGGGGCGGATTCGCGAGTCGATCGTGTGCCCCGGCACTAACGAGAGCCTCGGTGGAAAAGCCGTGGGGGCGGTGGCTGCCGAAAAACGAGACCCTTCACGCAACGACGTCCAAGCGGCGAGCGCGTCGCTCTATAAATAAAAAGCCGACTCTGGCATCAGCGGTGTGCGTGCGTGAAGAAGCCGTACCGTGTGTTTCGGTTTGCCCGTTTTCCGCTAAAGTCGTGTCTATAACGTGACGAAAGCTCCTGGAGTCCGAGGGCGAGGGCGCGAGAAAGAGAGGAAGCGCCCCGACGCCGCGGCATGGATGTGGGGTAGCGGGGGAGGGAGGGTGGGAGTTGAATCGCGCGGTCCCGAGCCGATTGGTCGGGGCCGTCCGATGCGGGAAATCCCCGATCGCGGACACGACACTCGTGTACACTCTCGCTCTTCGTTGTTCTTCGTCTGGGATTCGGCCTCTGGCACCATCTCTCTCCTCCTCGTGCGTATTTATACGTGGTAGCGTCTGCCGCGGTAGAAGTGCCAACGTCGGCTGGGCTCCCGAGGGGCCTCCGGCGACTGCGCGTTTCCACAATTGTTTATATTTTTTCTTTAGCGGCGCACATTCGACTAGTGCAAGCGGTCGCGCAGGCGCGACATTTCGCTCGTCGTTAGCGCCAAGGCTGCTGGTTTATCCGTCGGAGACCGAGAGCATCCGCACTCGGCTCGTTTAACGGTTGCCTATCTGTTTGTGGAAGCTCGCGCATATGTGCGGTAGTCACGCGTTTTGCCATACGTAATGGGCGCCGAGCACTTATTACTTAATTCAGTATTTATATTCAAGCTGATGATGCTATTTACTCGATCGCACGTCCCGAAAATCTCGAGGTGCTCTTATTGCAATGAGCTTGCATACAATGGAATTAAAAATACAAAAAATAGGACGAAAATTAAGATGCGAAGGGCTCGTGCTTTTCTTCCAAGAGCTCCCCTCTCTCTCTCTCACACACACACGCACACGCACACGCACACGCACACACACACACACATATACTCTCTCTCTCTCGCTCTCGCTCTTTCTCTCTCCTCACTTCGCCTCACCTTCCGCTCATCGCTCTATCGCTGCTTCTTTTTTCACTTTATTATGGGCTATTTATCCAAAGAAGGTGATTAAAAAACAGTGTTTTTAATTACTGTGGTTTTACCAGACATTATTTATTCTGGTAATGTACAATATAATGACGTAACATTTCTTGACTTCTAAAAGGATATCTCTTTGCATGTTTATTTTATAGTACAAATAATAAAAATCAATTACTCGATAACAAGAATTAATATATTGCCTTAAATAAATGAGCTACTCGGATGTTTATAATTGCTAATTATGAAAAACAATTCTTTACCTTGTATTATTGTGGAATACTCGAGTAAAAAATGAAATGTTCAAGTGGTCTGATAACTATTGTGTCACACTGTACATTATATTTCTACTTTTCATTTTTTTAATATGATTTTACGAAGTCGTAGATGTGAAAGAACGTACCATTTTATGTGGTGACAAAGAATATTTTACTAAAAATTTGAATAAAAATGTTTATCTTCTCTTCTTTTTTTTTTGTTTTTGTTTTTGTTTTTGTTACATCACCATGCAAATTACAACTTAGATATCGTGAGCTTTACCTTTTCTCTCTTCAATACAATGTAAAATTAATTTAAAAGAGGAAAATTGTTCATAACTGCATTAACCAGCGCATAAAATTATTAAGTTTTATGAAATTTGGTAAAGCAACGAGTAAATCATGCGTTGCACATGTACGAAAATATACATAAAAATTTTCAAGTTGATTTATTCGGAGCTTACACGCAAAGAAATGTTTAGCCTCAAATAAACTGTATTGCGATAAATTTTTCTGAATCATAAATATTAATGTTATTGCTAGTTTTGTACGCTATAAAAATACGAATTATGTATGTTTTTCTTTTATTTATTTAAAAACAAAAAATTGTTTGTTTTAAGTTAAAATATTGTATGAATTTCGATAAAAGCTCGAGATGAGTTAAGGGGTTGAATGGGGAGGGTCGATTTTCAGAAAATATCGAATGTCAACACCAAAAATTTGATTAATTGTCAATTCTGGATAAGCGAAACCTTTTCTTGCTACAGCGAACGAAGCACGAACGCGGCGAAAAACCTTTATTAAAACGTAAAGAAAGAAAATGTCTAAAGGCGATGTTTATTCAGTTATGCAGACGTGTTGTAAGTAAATTTGAAGTCCGAGCATAAGAACGAATTAAAATATCGTTGAAACATCAGTAATAACGTACCGTAAATATTAATGACGAGAATTTCAATTTTAATCTCCGTGGTTGTGTGACCGAGGAGACAGGCCGCGCGGACTCCTCCCCCGCCCTTCATCATTCATCCTTAATCGCAAACGAATTAGACAGTTGGTTTGCTGGAACACGCGTTTTTGTAATAAAAATGAAGAACATATTGTTTGGTGGAACCGGTTCGAGGTTGTTCGCCGCTTGAAAAAGTGAGTCGCAGTACGGAGCGGGCGCGCGCGCGCGCGCGTGTGTAGCCGTCGATCGAACGAGAGAAGGAGAGAGATAGATGGACAGATAGAGCGAGAGAGCTTGAGCGCTCGAGGAGGGGATCGGAGAAACGGAGAGAGTGAGACGGCACGAACGTCGCGGCGTCGAGGAGGGGAGTTGGTCGGTGTGGGGGAGGGGATATGGGGGGGGGAGTAGGGGGGGCGTCGTGGTACGTATGCGCGAGGAAAGCCTACGTGCCACGGCGAGCGCTACGAAAATTTCAGAGCCGACGAGCGTGCGGAAGATAAGTATCGCGCGCGGATACGGAACGCACGCTGCCGACGCCCGGATCCCGTGTTAAAGCCGTACTGGTGTGTGGTAGACAAACCCTCTATCCAGGGCGCGAGTCCCTTCGTCAGTTGATTCGGCAGTTTACGGTGCGCTCGGCTATGAAGCGGTCCGCGGCCGCCCACGGATGACCGGAGAACCGAGTCGGGCAACCAAGGACGCAGGCCAGGACGGCAGTGCACATCACCATGAATCCCTTCTCGGACTACGAGAAGACGGACATCTCGAGTGTGAGTATCGTAGGGGGATGATGAGGGAGAAGCGACAGGGGGAGAAGGGTGGCGAAAGCAAACGCGAGTGCTAGGATTGTGTTCGTAGAGAGCGCGAAACTGGGCTTTGGGCTGCGGCCGACCGACCGACCGGCTCCCCCGTGGAAAATTCGATTTCCATGGAGTGCTTTGGTCGTGCTCGGCGGCGCGAGAACATCGTATCGGCGACTACACGTGTTGCTAATGCATCTTTCAGCATGCGGACAGGGATCGCGCGGACGCGAGCTTTTAATCGACGGTTTAGTGCTCGTTTACACAGTGCCAGTGACTCAAGTCAATAAATCGAAGCACCGCGGGCTTGCGTGAAAACCGACAAAATCATCGGCACGACGAGCGTTAGAACGCGATCTCGCAGGGCCTCGGGCTCTTAATGCCGTATTGTCCTATTGCGGTTAAAAAAAAAAAAAGAAAAGAAGAAAAAAGAAAGAAAGAAAGAAAGAAAGAAAGAAAGAGAGGGAATTAAAAAAAAAACAGGAAAAAGAACGGGAAAAGAAGTAATAAAACAAAGAAAAAAGGAGAAACTAAATTTAATAGGGGGCCCGATAAGCGCTCGTTATCGTCGGTAAAGCAGCGAACGATAATCTGGCCGATGGCGATCGATAAGATGTCGATATTACGAGCCACGGGGGTATTTTTTCACACGAAGGGGTCAGTGCGAGCGCGCTCGATCGAGCCTTACGCAACGCGATGACGCACTCTGGTAATATCCCGCCGTCAAAAGGAAATATACCCGGAGGAGCGAGGAAAAGCCTCGTGCGCTCTATCCAGCCAACCGAGTATAATATGAAATTTTTATTTTCATTTATCAATCATTATCTCACAATGAAATTTTGTGTGCTTTTGATAAAATATTAATATACAGAATAACGAAAGAAAAAAAGAGACGAAAAAACAAATGCTCGTGAACTCCGGACGACGACGATACGGCCGATATAATGTTTCGTAAAGTAGGTTTATTTATCGAATCGTGAAAATATGGGATTCGATTCTACCATGTCTTATTTCATATCAAATGTTCAAGAGTCAAGTGAAACCTTGAATTATAAATGAGATTAAAACTACTCTATGTAAATTAAGATAACGTTTCCATTAAAAATTCTGAATATTTTTCTTTTAAAGGAAAATAGTTCTGTGATGAAACACTCAGCCCTGCATTATCTTTCAGTTTCCATTTCTTCAAATGGACAAAGTTTTGTATTATAGAAAATCAATGCTCCCACCCATTTTGACACCGCGAGCATCAGCAGTTACAAACACATACACGCAAACGTACGCGCGCACGCACGCAATTATATATGTATATGCATATGTGTATATGCATATATGTGTGTATATATATATATATATATATATATATATATATATATATATATATATATGCATCTATAGAAAGACGAATTGATCTATTATATCAATTATACGTACAATGAGGCAAACGACGTTATTAGAGGTTATATTTACAACGCGGATTTCTGATTTTCTATTACTCATTATGCGCACCAATGACGTAATAGATCAACTGCTTTTTACAAAGGCACATTAATGCTATTGATTACAATATTGAATAAGTGCATATTCTTCTATCGATAATAATGAAAACAAGTATCGAAGCAGAGAAACAAACTGCAAGACCATAATATACGATCCTCTTAAGTAGTAGATAATTATTACTTAAATATCAAAGTTTGTCTTTTGCATAAAGTAGTATAATTTTTTAAAAATAAAAAAAATGAAAGAAAAGAAAAGAAAAAAAAAGAATTCTTTATTCTTTTCAATAAGAAAATATTATTAATAGAACGGCTGAGAAACATTTGCTGTTTAACTAAGACTTATTTATTGTTTTATTACTGCGTTTCATAAGATTTTAATACAATAGCGTAATGACAAAATTATAAATGCATATTATTTTAACAATTAGGTGGTATTCAACCAAGACTACTTCAGAACTTTTGAAGAAAATGAAGATCACCTATTATTGGATATGGATTCACTCGTTCAAAGAAAGGATGAGGATCTCCTGATGTCCCGAATTTACGATTCATCGATGAAAAAATGTTCCCTCGGTAAGTAAAGCAAAATAATTGCCTTTCACTAAAGAACAATGTTTGACGATTATTATATTACGTGTTAATTTTTATTATTGAGAAATTATTAGCGAGAAAATTATTTTCAAATTATTACTCATTCTGCGAGAGTGATCGAGGTACATCTTGATAATAATGATGATATGAGTTGCTGCAAACACGTATTCATCAAAATAATTATACATAAATATATTCTTTTATTTAGTCATTTAATGAAAACATTATCTTTCAATTTTTTATTATACTATTTTTTTAGTTTTTGAAATCATCGATAAATTTTATTATTTAATTTTATAATACTTTTCTAACATTTCTTAATATATTAAATACATTTACAATAGTAATAACTATTTCGATATGAAATAATCGAGATAATTTTTAAACTACTTTTATAGTATTGTGTTCTCGTTTCTTCCACGAAACAATTTATCTATTTCAATTTCTCTCTCTCTCTCTCTCTCTCTCTCTCTCTCTCTCTCTCTTTGTCTTTCTCTTCCTCGTTGTAATCTATCTCTATCTTTTTGGTAAAATTAGCTAATTACCATCAATCCTTTGGAAATGTCTTATCACTATGCTATCACATTAATGTGCTGAGTGATTTATGCATTAACGAAAGAAGAAGCTCATTACATTACATTTTATTTTATTTTTACATAATATTGTATAATATGTAGAGATTAATTATAATATCGAATTGAGTTAATATTAATTAGTATATGATTTTGAAAGTTTATTAATTAATAAAAGCAACAAGAGCTTATTGTTGCCAGAATTATACAAATGAACATTCATCACAAATGTTTTATGACTATTCATGCTTGTTCATAAATGGAAAAACTTTAGACAATTTTTTATACAGATATTTTTCTATTCTCTTAAGATTCTCTTAAGATAACGATATTGTTATTACATATTGTTAAGTACATAAAATTTAAATGAATTTTTTTAATTTTTATTTTTAAAAGTGAGAATAAATTGCTTGATATAATTAAAATTAAATTCTTTAAATAATTAATTAATTATATGATCAATGGAATTGAATTTAATTAAATAATTCAGTATTCATTCTAACGTTGAAAAAAAGGAATTCTATGTCAATTTAGCTTGTTAAGTCATTCGCGTTTATAAATACAACGTTTTCAAAATAAAGATAATTCAGTTTTTTAAATAATTACAAATTAAAATCTTTAACTTTTAATTTATATCGTATATACAGAGATTCAAAAAGTCAAAGTTCATATAAGTTTTTTTTATTACATTTGTAAGTTTACATTGATTTCTAATTTCTAATTTATAATTTAATTTCCAATGAACTAAAAATTTAATAAAATTACGATTCATGATTATATATTTTTCATAATTTCAAAAATATTAAATTCACATCAATCTATTTTATTTAGAAATATACGTGATACATTACTTTTTTATTCGATTTAAAATACTGAAAGTTATCAGCTATTTTTTCCAATTGAATTCTATATAGTACAAATAATTTATTAAAACCTCAAATCTATGCAATATACTTCTTACGAGGAAAAAAAAGTATTAAATTTTTCTGGTCAGTGGTAACAGACAAACAATTGGCTGACTAGACTGCAGTATATTACTACTCGTTTGATACGTGGGAACGCTTTTCTAACTGTGTGTCATCAAATTTTACATGACTTTCTCTTGCCGAAATCAAATAAACGTCCCAATTTATTTATTGTTCAATACTTAAGCTAAGTAATAATGTACAATAATAATATTTTAAGAATGCCATTCACTTTGTCATGATCATAAGCATGAAAAAATTTCATTTATTCTCGGAAAAAATATTGTTAATTTATCAAAATCTATATGGGCGCGTGTACGTGCATGTACGTGATAAAGGAGGGGGTTAAGAAAATATATGTATCTTGCAATATTATCTTTCAAGTTTGTATGAATGCACGTACGATGGTTATATTCTCATTATTATTATTACTAAAGTCCATGTAAAAGTATATTTTTAAAAATTATTTAATAATAAAATCATATAAAAACTTGAATTATAATGCATAGTCAGAATCTGATAGCAATAATATAAAAATAAAAATATTAATATCATCTTGTCAATAAAGAAATATTTTATATATTTAATCCTGAAAGTTCTCACACTGTCAATTATAAATATCAAATGACTAAAAATTTCCTAGTTCAAAATGGCTGATGACAAACGATGATGAACTAAACAATAAATAAAAACTTGATTTTTACAATAAAACTTATTGGATTGAATTAAATATCTAATTAATGAAATATTCGTTTTTCACTTTATGTAAAATATGATTTAAAATTTAAATGTAAATTAAAATATAATTTTAAATATACATCAATTGTGAAATTGATATTACATTGATAGAAATGTGTGTTACACATTAGTAAATTAACTATTTTAACGTAGCATTTCCTAATATTTTAGGAATTTTAAATGTTCATTTATATTCGGCTTACAGAGTAAAATATAAATCAAGAAGATTAAGATTTATAAGAATAAAAAAAAAAAAAAATAAAAAAAAAATATTTAGATATAAAATTAAAAATATATTATAAAATTTAAGATTAATTTATTTACACATAGTATGATTTATTTTATAAAAAATTTTATAAAAATGATATATATATATATATATTTAAGTATTTTTATCGATTTAAAAAATTGAGAAAAATTTTAAATAAAAAAACTCTAGACCACTGAAATTACGCAAATGTATATTCGTATTAAATCAATGCGTTGCTTTAAATTAAATAATAAAACTTGTATTAATTATTATAATATAAATAGCTCTCTTAGAATTCGTGTTCGTCATATTAAACATATTATTTTGATAATTTCTATTTTATTTTGTTATCACATAAATACTGTATTCGATGATTAAAAGTACTTTAACGCAATGAAAATGTACATATCATTGTTACTCATCGAGACGAATGATACAGACAAATACGTTTTCATTTTCATGAGATTAATCTAAACTTTTTTCTTTGTCTTTATATATGAATTATATTCTATGAAGTTTTATTAAAGCATTATTATAACAAGTGTAAGTTATGATAATTATTATGCGTTTAATTAAAAAACAAAACAAAAAAAATAACAGAACAATATGAACAAATATTGATGTGTGTAATTATATTTAGATCTAATTTAAAATTTGATTATACAGATATAAGCATTGAAATTTCTTAAAATTCATACCTTTTTATTTTTAATAATAGTTGTAACGATGAATGACATAAACTTTAAGCAACTAATGCATTAAACAATGAGTAATTATCGCACTAAGCATTTTTCCTTGTAAATGATGACCTATAAAATAAACAATGTCCTCGATTGTCTGTCACAAAATAAAGACAGTATTTATTTTTAGTTAAAGTAGAAAATAATTTAAATATATACATATAATATTGATAATTAAAGATAGAATTTATTATTAATATACTGCCTGTGGTAAAGAATAATTTCATACCATCGAAACATTAGCATATTAAGAAACATTATAATTAATGTAAACAGCTTATTCGTTAGTTCATCATTATATTTACTATTCAAAATAATATTAAATGTCCATGACTGTCGTGTATGTTCTGTCATAGTCCAGGCTTACGGATCATATAATTTCAACGCATCGAGAAGATCAAAATGGGGACTGAACTTGACGATAGATAATCTTATTCAGAGTCTCTAGTTTCTTTAAATGACGAAATTTATTTAAATTAGACCATAGACTTGTTTTAATTAACTTTTATTTATTTAAATTTGCATCTGCGCTCTATCGTTTCATATATTAACTTAGTAAAGCAAAGAGCTTTTACATTCCGAAACAAAGCTAACATTTTCATAAAAGTTCACATCTTCTGCTCTCGTACAAAGACAAATATTCAGCTCGTTCGGGTGCTATCGAGTAAATTTCAATTCCCCTTTCTTCGATTCTCATCGCGCTCCTGGATAATAAATTTCGTCGTTATATCCACATGAATTTTCTAAAGAGTAACAGCCTCAATTTGCATTTTGGCGTATAATTGATGGATTGTGGGACTATGTTATACGCAGGTGAAGACGCGGAGGAAGTGGACGGGACGGGTTGGTCGTCAAAGCCGATCGAGGACTGGTGCCAGGAAGAGACGATAAATTGGCTAATGACGGCAGCCTCGTGTCTTGGGCAATCCTACGGCTCGATCCAGCAGGGTCTCGCTCTACCCGGTAAGGACCTAGCGGCCCTCGGCCGCCACGACTTTGTTGCCCGGGATCCCGTGTACGGTGAGCGGCTGTATAATCTCCTCCACACCCAGGCGGTTTCTAGCCAGTGTAAGAGCGCGAGCCTCGACTACTTCACACCGCGACATGGCGAGCAGAGTCACACGGATGAACGCGGGGCCGAAAACTTCCAGAGTCTTTGCAATGAGGACGAGCCTCAAGCCATTGGTTCCAACAACGCATCTGGTGAGTAGCAGCGTCGTTATGCCCAAGCGACATTTTCATTTACGAAATTAGACAACCAGACGACGACGCTTTCGCTTCAGGTATTTCGAGTATTCATTTAAATGCAAAGCTTAGTTTCAATGCCTTCGACTTACCTTTTATTACTCAAGTCTCATGGCGGCGTGCCTTGGGGGACCAAAAATGCCCATGAAATAATTGTAATTTATGAGCAAACTACTTTTTCAATCAAATGATTTTTCCGAGAAAACTTACTTTCATAACAATATTATCGATAGATAGGATGATAACTATTGAATATTCAATACAGTTAGCACATTATCTTAATTTTTATATTACGTTTGGTATTGAAGCTATTGTTTAAAACAGAAATATCCTTCATTTCGAACTCAATTTTAATTTCAACTACACCTATGAATCACCATAATTATGTTTAGAATAAATTTCCGTCCTGTTGAAGTTGATTTTCTATTTATCTTTAAATTTCAATTTATCGTGGACTCAAGCAATCAGCACGACGAACGATTTTGTTCTAATAATCATTCAATGTTTTCATATAATGGAAATTGGATTGTAAAATATTCATCGTGTATTTAAATATTATTTTATTCTTTCACTTTGTCGTTTATTCTTAAATACATTGAATTAAAATTTTAAATAAACGAAATATAAATTACCATGATTATTTGAAATATTGCTAACGCCAAGTTTTTAAATTAAAAAATGAAAAAGAATTCATAATTTAAGCTACATTAAGGTAGCTTAAAAGAACAATATGAACTAGCATATTGAAAGTTTTAAAGTAAAATTGTTCGTTTGTTAAGTCATCTAATTTCGTGGTAACTCAAACAATTACCCGATTTCATATAATAATATTACTATAACATTATTTTTTCGAGAATTTTAATGATACAATAATTATGAATGATAAACTATAATAGTATGTAATACGTGTCTCAATAATTTTATAAATACGCTTATCCATATAATAAATTGCAAGATATTAAATAAATGTCTAACTTACTGATTTTTTGTAAGAATATTAAAAAAAAAAAAAAAAAAAATGTCTAATTCTTCTATGTAATTTATTTACTAAACATGACTATTAAATTTCTATACGTCAATACATTAAAATAATAATGTTCTAGTTTACTTATTGGAGTAAAGGCATATTTTACAAAAGATAAATATAAAATAAAATATCATTCTAATAAAAATTTGAATTATATAATTAAATGTTCTATTATTCATGATAAATTGAGATAATTTAAAAAAGTAACTATAAATATAACAGCAACAAGAACAACAATAATAATATGTATACGTAACTTAATGTACACAGTATTCAATAATATTTACTTAATAAATATTTACACGATACTATTTTCCACATATACATGCTTACCGTAGCAAAAATAAGAAATATCTTTTGCTGAATTAGCCACAGATTTTTCATATAAACATATATGTTCAATATGTGTTATTCACAGATGCGGAATCAGATAATAGTATAGAGATATCGACCAAACGTCCACCTGGCAGACCAAGGCTTTTGAAAACCAAAAAAAATTGTAAGTTTTAAAAGCGTTACTTATTTATTTATTTTACTTCCAGCATAATCACGAAGAATAGATACATTTGAAATACAGAATTTTTCATTGTTTAAGTATAATATGTACTAGAATTAATTTTGTATCTTGTTTTATTGAAAATGACTTTATTTTATATAATAAAAAATATCTATACAAACTTGAGCAAAACTACCAATTTTGGAGAATTTTCATAAACATAACATACTTTTTTTTATATTTTATCAGTTATTTATTATATATGTATAAAAATACTGAAATAACCGATTATCTTTTATATTTCTAAAAACAAAAAAAAAAACAAAAAAAAAATTTACTATTTTGTCATAAAGATAAGCAACATTTCTTTACGTTGTAATTTCATCGGATATATTAATATTATTCAATGACATGTTCTGACTTTAACATAACGCGTTGCACCATTTTTATAAAGTCTTTATATATTTTGCATTTTTTATTTTTCGAAATTCAAAATCCTTTATAAATATTCTGTAATTACACAACATTTGTAAATTCCAAAATAAATAATTGAATTTAATAATATTATAATGCAAATATCGGCTCACTTATTTACAGCTACGAGTCAGGGAAAACTTTGGGAATTCATAAGAGATTTACTACGTAATAGAAAAACCTGTCCAAGTCTCATATGTTGGGAAGATTATTCGCAAGCGAAATTTCGATTTGTTCGGAGTGATGAAGTAGCGAAGCTTTGGGGTTCACGTAAGGGCAACACAAAGATGACTTACGAAAAGCTCAGTCGTGCTATGAGGTAAAAATTAAATTTTTTATTTTCAGCATATAAAGTTTAAATACTTATTATTGAAATTAAAATAAAAATTCTTGATTTTTATAGCGTATAGCTGCTCTTATCGATTTATTCACAATATATTTTAACTATAGATATATAACGAATACATAATTTATTCAATAAAATAATATTAAATGGATAAAAATAATTTCAATATATTTCATGTTTAATGACATAAGTATTACTTTAATAATAACGTAAGTTTTATTAAAGTAAGATTTTCATAAATATAAAAAAAAATTTAAGCAATTTTATAAAAAGAAATTTTTAAATCCTAAATATTAAAACTTTTTCAATATAAAAGCACATGTATGACAATACATCATTTTTTTATTATTTTAACTATTTTTATACAAAATCATTACTGATGTGATTATCTAAATCATCCTATACAAAAGTAGATTATGAAAATACAAAGTGTAAATAAATGTGTAATCTATGTATAATTGAATGTATTACTTAAGTTAAGCATTATTTCGTAATCAATTTATAAATTAATACATTAATTAAATTTAAATCTACGTATATAAATGAGGTAATAATTAATTGAGTATTTTTCTTGAAATAGTAATTAATATATAATATTTGAAAATCGAATTTTTGTGTGTTAAAATGAAATAAAATATTGTACTTTATTTTTTAGGTACTATTACAAAAGAAAAATTTTCCTTCCAGTTCTTGGGCGTAGATTAGTATACCAATTTGGACCAAACGCTACTGGTTGGCAAACCGACAATCCAAATTTTCGATTTTGAACATTGTAATAGTGAAGCATGTGCCAAATAAAGTTTCTTGTGCCAGAGTCAATTCATGATGGATTGTGAAAATTTTATGTCGCAACTACTTCACACGCGATTTCCAGATATAAACGAAGTTTAAAAGTATAAATCTTCAAGAAGACTGAATCTTTGTGTTAAAAGTTTTTCTCTAGTTTTCTCTCTCTCTCTCTCTCTCTCTCTCTCTCTCTCTTCCTTTTTCTGTTATCTAATAAAACTAAACTATGAAAAGAGAAATTAACTGCACCGAGAAAAAGAATAAAACAGTTTTGAGTATCATTGACATTCTATGTTATTCAGCATAGTATACTTAAAAGCAAAGAATAAAAAAGTGGACCAGTGTTGTTAACTTTATAATTTTTTTTTAATATATTCTATATATAATATACATAAGATACATAAGTATAATGTATATATATTATGATCATTTAAAAAATTCAATTGAAATTCATACATTTGTAAACCTTAAAAGCTATAAACTATTCAACAAAATTTCTACATACATTTATTTATTTTTTAAAACACAATATAATGGTAGCAATGTTTTTATTTATATTATTATTGTACGTCTATTTATTAAATTTTAGGTACTATTCATGAAATTCGAGAAATGTTACAGTATTTTTCAACCCGACATTAACAAGACTTTTCCTAAATAACTTGATCACAGAAATGTATGAGACTATTTTGTGTTTGTATTATAGCTACGTGTGTATATTCATATATATATGTGTGTGTGTGTGTGTGTGCGCGCGCGCGCGTGTGTGCATACATACGAAGTATCAATGAGCAAAAATTAATTTAAAAATTTTCAACAGTAAATGTGTTAACAACAAAAGTAATCAAAAAACTAAAGTATCGTAATAAAAATATTATATTTTTAAAAGATCTTTTAATACCTTATCACCGGAAATTTTATTTATTATAGTTCCTCATATTTTTTCAAATAGTAACAACTAGATATTTTGCTGAAGATAATTCTTTTACTTGCAAGATAGTAAATGCTTAGTGTAAAAAATATTTACTATTATTAATAATTTATGAATTTCGTGTTAAATCGTTGAAATACGTATTTTATTTTCTGTTTTATATTAATATTAAACAACCTTTCAGTACTTAAATTCTTAAATCTATAATTAAATACTATATATTAATGTCATGTTGTGCTTAATGTTATACATTCCACTCGTTTTTCATTTAAATTCTGTCGTAAAATTAGCAGCTTCCTAAAGGCACAAAATTTGGAAGATTGGAACTATAAATATATGTAATGCTTTTGAAATTAATATTAAAGAGAGTAAGTAGTTGCCATCTCTTAAATGAGATAAAAAAAAAAAAAAATTCGAAATGAATCCTACTTTTTTTTTATATTGTTTCAGGTTTTTCTTATAAAGATTATTTATATATTTTGGTATAATATATTTTTAATTAATTTGTAGCGCTTATTATTTTGAGTTTTTTTTTTTGATTATATTCATACATCACTTTTTAAACTTTCCACTTCCAATAAATATTCCTATTTAAAGATTGTATTGTGCATTAAAAAAATGTTATAATAAAATTATATATGTATAACAGACGAATATAAAAACAAAAAAAAATTGATAGAAAAAATAGGACTTATTTTTCTGTGTATATTAAGAATCAGAAATCTATTAACATGATATAGTCAATGAATATATATCTAAATACACAATTTATAAAAATATATGATCAATGGAGTACACGAAACTTTCCAGTAGTTTCTAATCATTTTAATCTAAATAATACACCTGGCTGAAGTCCTTTATTTGAATGGTCACAATTAATCCACGAACGTCTTTTATATGTCGTCGACATATTAATACACCACTAACGATCTCTCCTGAAAAAAAATCAATTAAAATTCATTAATTCATTCTAAAATAATTTTCTCGATACGTATTATCAAAAAATGAATGTGAATAAAGTAAGGTCAGCAACATTTAAATAAATCAGCCAAGCTTTCTAATACTTTATCCTTAAAACTTAAAGAAAAGATTGTATCGAACTTTCGATTAATATTTAAAGGAATAAAAATCGTTAACGTTTATAGTTTATATATATAATAAATATCGTGAATTTTGCATTAAAAAAAAGAATGAAAAAAACAAAAAATTAATTCAAATTTATATTTACTTTTTTATAATTAAGAAATAAAGCAGTTGTAAATACAATGAAAACATTCTTTTTTTTTTATATAAGAACCAATTATTCGTTACATTTCATAAAGATTTAATTCATTTACAATTTAATGAATTATTATTACGTCAATTGTATCTTGATTATATACTTACAATTATAATAATATTTAAATTGTATTATTTTATTTATTTAGGTATTATAAAGAAAACGTGTGCTATATTTTGATATAACGGATGGCCAAAATGAAAGATAAGAAAGAAAAGAATTACGAAAGCATCTATATTTTGTTAGCAATAAAAAATGTTTAAAATACCTTCTGTTATACTGATTGGTTCACTTAATGAGAATACAGTCTGTTTCCAATGAGTTGGTGCTGTATGTGGTCCTGTACTAAAATGAACTGGATTCTCTAAGTCGAAATAAATGTCAAAATAACCAATGATTGCTGTTAATGAGCCAGTTCGGTTAACAGTAAGATTAAATGGGGATGAGAAGTTTACACAATCAGTAGTTACTTTATAGAGATCAAACGATTGAATTTCAGCAACATTGGTTACTAAATCTTTAGGATTACAAAACTCGATACTTGGCTCTCGCACAACTTCGGCTTTCATACAGCTCATCTTGAAACCATACACATTTGACCAATAATCCACCAAATCAATATAACGTTCTAAAACAAAATGCATAAAGCAATTGTATGCCATCGAATGTATCATTTATAACTTTTAATATATAATATTGTTCGTGGTAACTTACTTGTATCTCCACTACCAACGAGACTAATTGTACATCTATTTGGTAAAAGCTTACCAGTCGACGAGAGATAATGGTCCCTTGCATATATCACTGAATCCAGCATACCTTCAAATAATAAAAAATATCCCATCCATTCGGATATAATCGCATCAACTTTATGAACATCCAATTTAATATCTTCCAGTCTTCCTTTTTTTAATGTTATAATATCAATCAAATTATTTTCTCTACAATATTGAAAATGTATATTAACGATTGCAATGAATTTGTTAATTTTTTTATCCAATAAACCAACCTTACTATATCCATGGCGTGATAAATAATATCTGATTGATCGACACTAATGACTTTTTTACAACCAGATTTTGCAGCAAACATTGAAAGAATTCCAGTACCGCAACCAACGTCAAGCATCACGCAGTCATTAAATAAATGTGAATTTGTCAGAAGTGCATCACGATAACTCTCCGTTCTTATTTTATCCTGCATTTAATGAAAAATAATTAAATAACATAATTTAAATTAAAATTATAATATATAAGTTGAGATCTACGCCAATTACTGTTAACATTTCATGATGAATAGCAAAATGACTGTATGTATTGAAATATCCTTGATCAGAATTTGAGCCAACATTCTGTATACATTTTTCTTTGGACTTAGAGAAATCGCTATCATCAAAGACTAATTTATGAGCTGCTTTAGTCATTTCTTCGATTTGCTAAAAATTTTTATTTAAACTACATAATTTTAACGACTCGTTATTAATTTAATTTTTTTTGTAACAGACCTGCTTAGCTAATAAGCATGCTAAATTTCGCTGTTCTAATTCGGCTTTTAAGGACTGTATTGTTTTTTCAAGCTCTGCAAGATGATTATCTGGTAATGCAACGTCCATAGTCTCGGAAGTAGTTGGATATTGATTTGAATTTGTTAATATATCCTCTAATTCATCCAAATCTGAAAAAACATTATCGATGAAAATTATCCTATTCATTAATCTAAATGTACTGTCCATTTAATACTATCTACCCAACATAAGCCAAGGATCATCTTGTAATATTGGTGTTAAATATTCATCGTGTTCCCATATCTTTATATTTAATTCGTTTAGTTCTTCCGGTGTAGCTTTTTTCTTCCTAATGAAGTTAATTAATTTTATATAGGAATATATGTCTAAAGCGTGTCTCATTTTAAACTTGGCAAAATTAAAATTGTGCGACGAGTCCAGATGTTTTAAGGCATCCGTGAAGTTATTGCAACAATTACTGCAGAAGAGGCACTTTATGACCTGTTTCTCATAATTCATCTCTTCCCAGTCATCGTCGCTTTCAGATTCACTTATGCCATGCATACGCACAGTATGATTCGAATACAAGTTTTGCGAACCTTTGAAAAGATTTTGAAAATATATAAGTTTATTAACAGTTCTTTGAAACACATATTTTACAGCAAAAGAAATAATAATAAATTTATAAAATAATTATACGTAGATAGTAGTAATACGAGCATGAGGAAAATAATATTTATTATTGTCAAGTGTATTTTTATTTTGTTTTGTTTTGTTATATCGATTAGGAAGGAAAATGTGTATATGGAACATGTGCACGCAAATGATATAGAATTTACAATATGTGTTGATTATTTACTTTGTACATTCTTTACTTTTTCTGTCATACTTAACAAATGAAATTATGATTAACTATTCTTATAAAAACTAAATTCAAATATGCACGTGTAGATCAATTCATTGAGAAGCCTCAGCACGTATTATTACAAAGTTCTCTGCCCCTTCATTCGCACTTTACCTCGGATAGTATATTTTATGGAATATTTGTTATTGGTATGTGAAAATATGCGCACGCGCATCCGCGATAATTCCATTTAATTCCAAAATTAAGTATCTACAGCATATAACTGTATGTATTACTTTAGTTTTATAGTTCTCTTAAATTACTTAATTTAGATATGCAATTTATTAACGTTAACAAATCCTGGATATTTGAAATTCTTAAGTGGCTTTTTTCTTTTTTTCTTTTTTTTTCTTTTATTATACCTAAAATTCATAATTCCAGAAAACTTAATTATAAATTTTTTTACATAATTATAAAATATTTTTCAGCCCTAGGTGCCGAAAATCCCACGACCAACGTGAATGTAAATTTACACAACGGGATCAATGGGAGTTTGCAGGTGGGAATATATAAATTGAAAATTCGTTTACCACTGTTTGAAAGTCATTTTATTAATAAATTCTTTAGAAATGAATGTGGACGTGGTATTGTCCTTTTTATTGTTTACATTGAATCAATCAATGTTTTATGTTTGGTAGACTTAATTTTGAATTCCATAATAGCTCTCAATAATTGTTTTAACTTTTCAAAATCCGACCTTCCTCGAATTTACGTGGGAAGCCACGCGAAGACAATTAATAGCGCCTCTATCGACTGACAGTAATACTTTCCGCGACAAATTTATAGAAATAAAACATTTTTATTAAGTATGCAAAGGTAAAATTTGAAGTTTCTTTTTGTGATTATTCTATAATAGCTGTAACCTATAATAATAAAAAATAATCAGTTTGATTTAAGGAATTGATAGGTGGATTGTCGTTCATGTGAAGTTGTCGGATTTGATATTACTGTAAATGATATCAAATATATAAAATAGGATAGTGAATTAAATAAGAAATTAATTAAATAAATTTAAAGCACTGTGCCTTTCATTAGAAATAATATTGAATTGTAAAACTATATTATTTATAAATTGAAAGAGCAGCAACTGCCTTTACATTAGTATGTATATCGTATTGTTTAACATTTTTATTTATCGAATTTACAACAAAATTATACAACTAATTAATACTAATTTATCTAGATCGTGATTTGATATAATGGTAACTGGTTCTACAGAGCATGGTATGCAAGCTGATGTAGTATTTGTTATTGAAAGCACAGCTACTAATGGTGCTTATCTAAATGATTTTAAAACAAATTATCTCATACCCACCTTGGAGTAAGCTTATAACATTTTATGTTAAGATTTGTTAATATTTTATTTGACAATATTTGATGGCATTCGTTACAGGTATTTTAGCCAGGGTGGCATCGAAGATCGAGAATTTGCATCAGAAGTATGTGATTTTTCAACATTTTTGATTAACTTTTATTAAAAATATAAATAACATTTTGTTATTTATAAATAACACAACAAAACTATAAATAATATTTTGTTCTATTAACTTTTCATTCTTTACAGACTAGTTTAACGCTTTATGGAATTGTTGTTTATCATGCAGCAGACTGTCTACTATTACCTTTTACAAGAGCATTCGGCCCTTTTTCTAACCCACATAAATTATTACTTACTTTAGAAAAACTTGAGTTAGTATATCTTATCATTGACATACGAGTCATTCATTAATATTTTAATCATTTTATATTGATTTTTTTACATAGAATGATTGGTGGAAAAGGAGAATCCCATGCACATATTGGAGAAGGACTTGCAACGGCTCTTCATTGTTTTAAAGATTTGCAAGTGCGAAGAGAACCGAATGTAGCATCGCAAAAGCATTGTATTTTAGTATGTAATTCGCCGCCGTATCAAATTGACGTTCAAGAATCCTGTACGTTTTATGGATATTCTGTTGAGCAGCTGGCAGGTGTTTTTCAAGAGGTAGAAATAATTCAATTCATTATTTTTTTGAATATCAAATAATTATTGATTACATAACGTTTCCCTTGAAACTTGAATTTAAAGGATAAAATTTTTATTAAAATTCATATATTTTACATTATATTATATTTAAAAGTTGTACTTTATATTTATCATTTAAATATTTAAAATACTGATATTTAGTATTGCACGAAACTACTTTATAAAAGATTTGATGGTTAAACGTTAATGATTTTTCAGAGAAACATCAGTCTGTCGATATTGTCACCAAGAAAAATTTCGGCACTGTTCAAGCTGTTTGAGAAGGCTGGTGGTGATCTCCAATCATCACAGACAAAGAACTACGCCAAAGATCCGCGTCACCTTGTGCTGTTGCGCAATTACAATTTGAAAGAAAGCCCGGTTAGTCCGACGTCGGCCGCTGCTGCAGCAGCCGCTGTTACGGGGACGCCAAGCGCAGCTCAAATAGCCCTTAGCCCTCTGCAAAGTAATGACAGTCCCAATCCCAATCAAACACCCCAAAGTATCGTTGTCGCACAATCCGTCACACAAGCACAACAGGGCCCACCCGCCTCCTTCCGCAGTCAAACCACACCTCAGAACATAAACTCTGTGCATCAACAACAAGCAGTTAATCAGCAACAACAACAACAACAACAACAACAACAACAACAACAACAACAACAACAATCTATGAACGCATCAATGGGCGGCAGACCGCAATTCAATCCGCAAATTTCAGCTCCGCCGAACTATCATCCGGCGGCTATGGGTGCCAGGGCTCCGCATCCCAGAGCATGGATGAGACCACCCTTCATGGGCCCTGGGCCCAATGCTGGTCCAGCTGCCGCGGCTCCGCCGCCTCCTACTAGCAGTCAAAGCAGTGCCCTGATTGCCCAATTGTCCCAACCACCTTCCGCAATGGGTCTCAATGTGCAGCCTTTCACCCAAAGAATGGAAGGTAATAAATTCTCATTCGCAAATTACCTCTCAGTATCGATAAATATTTATTACATTTTATCCTGCTTTATGTTTATGTTTTTTCTATTTAATTGTAAATCTTTATGAAATGAACGAACTTAATTAATAACAACTTGTCAATCATGTTACAGTTTGTTGTTACAGCTTACATTTGATAGTATGTAAGAAAAATATTTATATATTCATTGTTTTATTAAATATTCGTTATATTAAATATTCATTATATTACTAATACATTTTTTTTTATACTTAGTGCTATAGTAAATAATTATCGTTTTAATTTTATATTTTTCTTATAAAAAATATTTAAATTTTAAAGTGTATTTTAAATATAGCATTGTATATAGTAATGTGTGTGCGCGTGCGTGCGTGTGTGTAGATAGATATTTTCAAAACTATAAATTTAATAAAATTCAAATAGCACTGAACGTATTATTACAAAAAATGTAATTAATTACTCAAAGTAGGTCCTATCGAATGTGAATTTATGTAATTAAGTAAAAATACTCAATCCTTGTAAATCATTTTTTTTTCAAATATTTCATTTGTTAATTTAAATAAACTTTCGATCAAATTTAGGAGCCCCTAATGCTGCAATGGCAGCAAATTCGCAACAATCTCAGCAACAGCAGCAACAGCAACAACAATTAAGTCAGCACCAACAGCAATTAAGACTGAATATGCAGCAGTTACAGCAACAGCAGCAACAAAATGCTATTCAACAACAAAATGCACAACAAGCATCAATGGGTATGCAAGGCCAAGCTGCACCAAGCCAAGCTGGTCCTCAACTCAATGTTTCTGGTGTAAATCAGCCAATGGCATCACAAGTTCCACAAACTGTCACTGCATCTCAAGCATCATCTGCTCAAGCTGCTTCTGCCGCAACTCAAATGAGTCACGCTCAGCAGGTTTTTGATAAATTGCATAAAGTGTTTCTTCTAAGATTTCATTAATATACTTATAGATATATGTCAAATAGGGTAATAGTACTGGTGGGCCTGTGAATCAACCCATGTTAAATGCAGATCGTACAGTAATTTGGAAAGGCATGCTCGAATGGGTAGAAAAAAGTAAGAATACCAATGATGCCCAGAAACAAACCTGGCAAGTACCTTGTCAAGTTTCAGCAACGGCAAAAGATGGAGAACCAGAAGTGTAAGATTAAACCGATTTCATTACTCTATTTTATTTAAAATTTTGTATATTTATGTTAAGCGATTCAAATGACTTATTTCTTGTTTTATTAATAGTAAAGCAGAATCGTGGCCAATGAAGCTGATTATGCAGCTTATGCCAAAAATGTTAATAGGAAATATTGGACAAGCTTATTTAAAAAATTCTAAATCAGTTGTATTTTATCCATCAACTTGCGACGCCCTTGAATCATTGATAAAAGTCATGTCAAATGGCTTTGTAAGTTAAATATTTATCAAGTTTATTTGTTAAATGATTATCAAGTTTTAAGCATTTTAATTAAAGCCTTATATTTATTGCAGGCAGGATGTGTCCATTTTACATCCACACCTACGTGTAATATTAAAGTATTGTTATTGTTGTATACAGCCGAGAAACGAACTTTTATAGGTTTTATACCAAATGATCAACAGGCTTTTGTCGATCGATTAAGAAAAGTAATTCAACAACAAAAAAGTACACATGCAATGATTCGACAAGGTCCAGTTACTTTAAGGGTTTGTTATAATATTTTATTAATTTTTTTTTTTGTTAACAAATGGCAAATAACAATATTTTAATCACAATATGTATTAATTTATATGTAGCCAGCTGGACCAGGAACTGGCCCTGGTGGTGTTGGTACAAATACAATGCCCGGAGGTGTGCCAAATACTGCTGGTATCTCTCAGAGTGGTATTTTAATGTCACAGACTAACACAATGACCATGGGTGGAGGTCAAATTACACAGAATGTTATGTCAAATAATGGTCTTCCACAACAGCCCATGGCTCCCACAACTGTACAGCAGAATCAGCTCAACATTCAGACGGTCGGTCTTGCGGCAGCTGGAGGAGGACCACAGGGTCAAATCAACACTGGAGGAGGTGGCATGATTGGACAGCAGCAACAAATGGAAATGGCTCGACAACAAAATTTACTCAAGATACACCAACTGCAACAGACACTAGAAGCAGCCCAGCAGCAGGAGGCGCAGTATAAGTCTCAAGAGGCACAGTATAAATCTCAAATGGAAGTTGTTGGCAACGTAACTCCATTATTATTACAATTACTTTTAATTTATTGAATCAAAAAAATTAAAGATTGTATTTCAAATTTTAGATACAGCAAAATCTTGAGCATGCACAAGCCCAAGAAATGCAATATAAGCAGCTAGAGGTCTGTAGCATTATAGTATATATTTGGAGAATCATTAAAACTTAGATATAAATTTGATTTTGGTTATAGCAAGCTCAACAAGCTCAAAGGGGCTTGAATCCTGGACCGGGAATGCAGGGACCGCAGCAGGCCAATGCACAGCGTATGATGAGACCAGTATTGAATAACGCACTTGGATTGCGACATTTGTTGCAACAGGTAGAAGTAGTTTTATTATATTATTTAAGCACTTATTTTTATAAACAATCATTATTGGCTTAAGGATAATTTATATTTATAATAGATTTTCCAAATTTGTTTAGCAACAACAACAACCTCAATATCGACAAGTTCTTGGAATGCAGCAACAGATGGTTGGTCCTCGTGGTCAAATGGCTCCAAGGCCAATGGCGCCTGGCAATCCCCAAAATCAACAATTTGATGAAGTTTCCAATTACGATTTTCTTGGTTAAAAAAATTTATTCTATATTTAATAATGTAATTTAAAAAAAAAACAAAACAAAACAAAACAACAGTTTTATTTACATAAAAATAATTTTTTTTTTATCACATATAAAGTAATCTTAATAATTTTCTTTAAAATTTGTACATACGAATACAACAAAATTTTAAAACAAATTTAATTTTTATAAAGCATATAATCTCGTAACTGATAGAAAATATAGAGTTTATATATTTTTATGTATGCTTATTATTTATTTTCTTAAATTAACAAGTTGTTAGCTTAATGCATTATTATTGTAATACGATCAGTGTGCATAATCTTTTTATCAATTTCAACACCAATTTATACGTGTGTATATATATATATATATATATATATATATATATATATATTTTTATATTAACGAAGTAATGAAATTGGATTGGTTCTATATTAAATTTCTAAAAAATACAATATCACATATTCAAAATTAAACAATGAAGTTACATGTATGCATATGCATTAACATTTTATAATTTAAAATGGAGCTTCTGGTATATTAAACTTAAACATATATTTGCATTGCTGCGATGTTGAAAAAATAAAAGTATAAGCATTTGGTCTATTATAATATAGTTATTTTATTTAACATTAATTTATTTCATTGTTAAAAATTAAATTTATTTAGTATGTACTGCTTTTCTTACATTATTTATAACGATTGAGCATGTATTTGGGTAAAAATATTCATATCTTAATATTATCGCACTATCTGAGAAGTTATAATTTCGTAAATATTTTTTAACATTTATATAGTTTATAATATCTTTAGCCATCAAATTGCTAAACAAAATTTGGTTGTAAAGTTTTTAAACAAATTAAAATAAAGATCAGGTTTTTAAATTCAAATCCAAATTTTAAATTCAACAACAATTCAAATTGTTGTGCCATAAATTATAAAGTGCATTTTAATTAAAAATTTCGCTATAAATTATTTAATGAAATAAATTTATTAAAATTGTAAATGCGGCGATAGATATTTCGCGCAACCATAATACATATATAACTTTAAATTATTTTATTACTTAATACCATTGCAATTACTTCTGCGCTAATTTTATATTTGTTAATTGAATAAATTATCCCTCCAAAAATTAATATACATTTACTTAATATGACGGATTCTGAATAAATTTGACATCGTTACCTTGTTTTATTATAACTTATTAAATGAACTTATGGAATATAAATTCCATGTAAAATTTGTAGTTTTTTTGCACATATTTAACTATCCATGGATCCAGAAATGAGCATATAAAGGATCGATGGATAATGATATACTCTTTGTATAATAATACCTTAGTTCTTATAATAGATAAGTAAAATTGTATTTATAGTTCCATATTTTTCTACAATGCTAATCAACAAAATTAATTTAAGTAAAAATTAGTTTATGCGATTAGTAATAGAAAATATAAATACTGCTTTTATAAATATGTATAAAATTAGTTATTAAATCAAATTCAAGTAAGAAACACTGTTGTTCTTATACATTCAATATAAGAAATATATTCGTAACTTATCCATAACAGATTAAAAATCTTATTATCAGCTTTAAAATTCAGTAAAAAAAGATATGATTTTGTTTTTAAGTAAAATTATTTATTAACAAAATTAATATAAAGCTTGCAACTATAATGCTAGTAAGGTGATGGTAAAACTTATGCTGATGAGCTTTGTTTTTTATCCCTCTAAAGTGCGTTGAAAGTTACATCAATAGAGCGCGATTATGCACCGAATTCATCATCATCATATATGAAAAGCGTTCCATATCAATGTATACACATTTTCATTTGCTTTACTTACTCGTACACTTTTCCGTCCTCTTTCCTTAATTAGTACAGTATCCCCCACTCGCCATTAGTCTCTCGAGACTCTACGATTGGTTCATGTAAAACCATTAGGCTCGTAGCTATTGATACTTATTCGCAATTTATTCTCCTTGTAATGATTTGATCGGTAATTTTCCTTTTAATGTCCATGGCGCTTTGGTTGTTAGATAAGAGTTGTAGACATGTGAAAGAAACGGTAGGCACTATTGTAGAAATAAAATTTAGTGGTATTTAAAATATTAAAAAAAAAAAAAAAAAAACCAAGAAAAAGGCAAACAGAAGAGGGAAAAATAAATCAGAGATTCATTATTTGATAAAGTACCGATGGTTAACATTATGAATAAATGAGTAGAAAGATAATTCAAGGACGCGAAATTTTGACACTCGTGCTTTTACCATTTTACAATTTTATAATCATCACGAATAATTATTTGCTTGGTGATACTTGATTCTGCGCAGTGACAACCTCGTGCGAATTTCACATGATATGCCCACTTATTTGAATAAAAATAGGATTTCTGAGGTACAATGAGTGCGAATATCAACGCAATTTTACGTGGTTGATACTTGTCTTGCCCCGATAGTCCTATTTTATCAAAAGTAGCGCGCACGTGAGATACAATCGGGACGAGGCTGCCATTGCGCAGAATCAAATATCAGGTTGATGCGATCTAGTCAGAATTACAGGCAGAAGTCTGAACTCGCGTCGTCTCGGTGAGTGTGTGAGTGTAAGACAACGGACGACCATCACTATTTTCCCTCGCAAATCCATGAGATTCCTCCGTCGGTAATCGCTACGTTTTTACGTGCATTGGAACGTTCCCAATTGATATTTATCTACATACAACGAGGAGTAAATTAAGAATTTGGTAATGCGAAAAACTGACGTAAGCTGTGTTTATCTTGGTAAACGCTCGTTAACAACCGTTAGAGCTGCCGCCTCGTCGCCCTGCTCTGACACCAGCTCGCATCGATAGGTAACGAGAGAAAACTGTCTGGCCTAAGGAAAACAGCATTCCGCAATGCCGGGGGAAAATTGCTTGGTCTGCGCGAGCGACGAGGGTATTTTCCTGGACGTTCTTGATCAGCCAACATTGCGAGTTAAAGCAAAGAATTGCCGGCTTGATAAGGTAAGTAAAATAACGCTGATGAGCTTTGGTGACTTTGTAGGTTAAGACACGATCTCCGTATTGGAAGGGGAAAGACATCAACCCAAGATGTATGTACTACGCCGGTCATTATAAAATTGAAGAGGGAGCTAAATAAAACCATCAGAATACCCGATCGTTTCTCGTAATATTAGTATTTACGGTCAAATCCACCTTTTTATCAATAATGGGATTATTTTACTATTTTATATAACGGTACACCAGAGTTATTGTGATATTGTATAATTCTGTATGTGTTTCTCATGCATATATGCACACACACACACACACACACACATATATATATATATATATATATGCATATGCATAAATATATACACACAATATGTATTTTTCTTGCATTTTTTATTTTTCTAGTTTTTCATCAGAACATTTTTACTAAAAGCAAGTAATCTTCGACGTTGTGTTGAACATTTTTTTTTTAAGATAAATTATTCGCTAGGTTAAATGTAATATTACTTATGTGTACAGCGTAGATTTATAACTGCATATTAGTTGCGTTTACTGGAACAAAAATAAATGCATTTGCATTTCATTCGATGGCAATAGAAATTAATTGTAAACGAAATTATAAACCTAAAGCCTGTTTTTTTTTTTTGAGTAAGGAATGTAATGGGTTTTCTTTTTTTTCAAGCTCAAAAACTTAGAAGACATAATAGAATATTTTTAGTAATTTATAAAACAGTATGACGTCAATGAAATATGTAATAGTGTCATGTTGTTTTGGTTTGTTATTTAGTTGTCGATAGCTTTGCCTCTTAACAAGTTTTGTGCTGAATCGATTAACCTTTTCAAAATTGCAAATATTCAAAATAAATGTAAATGTTTAATATGATAAGTTCTATAGGGTTATATTCCAACAGAAATGTGCAATATCGCATCTATTACGAAAAAAAAATATCGATAATGTAAATAATAACGCCTGCTGCTTTTCTTCTACACCTATGCGCTTACAATTATAACCTGCCTTTGGTAATTTTATCTCCTTATGTGCTTTCGTAACATCGATGTAACATTAACTTAATAAAAAATAATAATGATAATAGATAAGTAATATAAAAATACAATAAAAAAAAACTCCCGAAAACGCTGTCACTGTAGATAAAACGTAATATAAGAGGAGCGAGTTTGTTTATTTAGACAATTTTCGGCTTTTATTTTTTACTTTCCAATTGCAGTTTTTTTTTTTTTTTTGTACAAAGATATGAAAAAGTCTAATAATGTCTCGTGTATGTAATTTCATACGCGTATTTTCAGATAATAGAACGATAAGGTTCACGATTAATAGGAATAATCGATGTAACGTCTTTAAAAGTAACCGGCGTAGTGAAAGAAAAATTAACATCTTACGATGCACGAATGATAAAAACGATAAATTAATGTCGCCTCTGCATTATAACTCACTTATGATAATATATATATATATATATATATATATATATACACATATATATAATTTTAATCGCGACGATTCCAGCCTAATTCCTCGCAAACTCACAGATCTTGTGTTATTTGAGTGCTTGTTGAATAATTTTCGTCTTCCAAAATAAAAAAAAAGAAAGAGAAAAAAAAACTACAATTGTAGGCACAGCTTTCGAAATGTGAGCCCGATGGTAGCGCCACCGAGTCGCTCTTCTATGCTCATAATGCATTAGTACGGATGCACATAGGAGAAAAGCGGAGGAGAGTGGCGATTTAGCAGCGGCCGAGTGCCGATACGTCATATAAAACCGTGTAGTCGGATGCGCGGGTGCGTGCGTCGTGCGTGCGTGCGTGCATGGATGGATGCATGCATGCATGTGAACTCGGGCGATCGCTTCCATGACGCGAGTAGAGGCGAACTCGTTTGTTTCAATGTGTGCGCCGAGCGCAGCTTGAGTATTGCTGGGGTACGAGTTACTCGAGAGGGAGAGATTCGGAGCTTCGGCTTAAACTTTTAATCTCTCGCTTAAATTATATACGGACCAATAGAAGGACCTAGGAGGAGACCGAGTTATGTTTTCTTAAGAAAGACAGGTGGGCTGTATACGACAAAATACCGGTTGCGTTTCACAGTAAAGTTCTCGGCGCTTTTCGAATCTTTACAGAATCGGCAAATTCTCTGTGTACATATCTCTCCCCCTTGATTATTGTTTTTCAATTCGTTGAATTTATCATTATGTTACTTTTTTGTTTATGGGAAGTGGAATTGTTGTTTACTAGCATAGGATTTCGCATGTTTGTTATTTCTCGGTTAGGATTATCAAATCCTTAGCAATGTTAATGTCATTTCACAATGGTATTGTTGGTGCTTTTCTCCTTTAATGCTTTTAATGCTTGCAAATGTATGTAATTTACATTTTAATAAATAATTAAAGATAATCGAAATATTATTATATTTTGAAATTAATTTGTAAATTATTTTTTCATGTGTATTACTTTTTCAAAAGAATTATTTTAATAATGCTTGGGGTCATTAAAATGATGATTACATTAATGTTTATAATTTTTTTGTTTTATTTTCAGGTATCGGAGGATGGTCCATCGACGAAAGTATGTTATAAATGTGCATTTGAAATAGAACAATGTAATATTTTTGTTGAGAAAATTAAAAAGGCTAATAAGATACAGAACTCCAGAAAAAGCTGCTGCATCTTTTGTTTAGATGCATACAATAAAGAAATATTCTTTGATCTAACCAAACAAAAGTTTGGAGTAAATAACCTCATTCAAAGAATACAAGATCTTTTTCCCGATGAAGTGAGTCATTTTTACTTACAAATTATAAGTTTATATTAAACTCATATATATATATATATATATATATAGACTTATTAAAAACATATTTATTGCAGTTAAAATATAAGGAACTTCAGAGACATTTAATTTGTTTATCGTGTCGATATTGCGTGGATTTATTAATTGATTTAAGAAATTTATCAGATGAAATACCTGCTAAATTAAAAACCATAATACAAAATGGCATTGATCCAGCTGATCTTCCAAAGGTACATTACCGTTATGATTGTTTTAAAGGAAAGATAGCAATTTTTGTTTTGTTTTTTTCCCAAATGTAATTATATACTTTATATATACTTTATATATAACTTTGTATAATTTTGTACATTTCAAATCTATTTGCACTTCACAGAAAATATTAATTTATATATGATATACATTTTTTCTTAGTACCTCAATATTGTATTTATATTTTTTATTTGCAAGATAAATTTATGTTTTAGACAAAAACATCAATTGTAAATCGCAAGACTACTTTTATCCAGTCATCGAACTTAGATCTAAATACACCATCGGACACGGATAGCGATTCTTCTGTCATAATGAGTAATAGAAAAAGGAAAAATAAAGTTAATAAGACAATAGTATCAAGATCACAACGTAAATGTGAACAATGTAAAATAGAAGTTAAAAGTGGAGTAGATATGTATAAGATATATCGAACAGGGGTAACTGTTTGTAAACAATGTTGGCTTACTATAGACCCTGGTAAAGTCAAGACATCATCTAAAAAGCGTAAAAAGTTCGATTATTCGGGAACAAAATTGTGTTCTGTACTCTTAGAAGATGTATATCAAAAAAATTCATATGAGAGAGAATATAAAATAGAAAAAGATAATAAAGGTAATACTGTATTCATAGTAACTGACGATAGTGAAAGTGAAAGTAGAACCAAACGTAAAGTAAATAAAATCAAATCAAATGATATAAATAATAAGCAGGATGTAAGTAAAGAAGTTGTACATGATATAGAAATTAAAAAAGTGAAGTCCGTTAGAGGAGGCAGAAGAAAGGAAGACGTTGAGAAGAGTATGCAAGAAACTGTTGATAATAAGCCAACTAGATTGGGTAATAGAAGAAAAGAATCAGAGCCAAGTTTACAAGAAGTCGAAGTAAAGTCTACTAGAAGTAGGCGACATAAAGATTCAGAACAAAGCGTAAGAGAGGAAAGTGAATTAAAATCCATAAAGTCAAGTATAAGAAGAAAGGACTCGGAAGAGAGTATACATGAAGACGGTGAAGATAAATTTACTAAAGACTATGGTAGTTTAAAGGATGATGAACAAAGTATTCACGATAATACGGAGTTTAAGAGTACAAAAATGATTAGAAGGAGAAAAGAATCTGAAGAAAGTTCACAAGATATCGAAATCCGATTGACTAGATCTTCCCAGAGTAGAAAAGATTCAGAACAAAGTATTCAAGAAGTTTTGGAAGTTAAGCCAGTGTCAAAATCATTTAGGCAGAGAAAAGAATCTGATCATAGTTCGCAAGAATTTGAGAGAAAAGCAAATAAAAGTAATAAAAATAGAGATTCTGAACATAGCTCGCAAGATGGTATGGAAATTATTAATGCAAGGGGGTTCAGAAGAAGGAAGGAGTCTGACCAGAGTATACAAGAAGACATCGAAGTTAATGTAGACATTGATAGTGATAGTGCTCCAGTTTCAAAGAAAGCAAAAACATCCAGTCCAAAAGTTGAGTCAATGCCAAAGCATATTCAGTCAAATATAAACAACCAAAATAGTGCTGCATCTGAAATTGTATTTACACGCAAACGAGGCAGAAGTAGTTCTTTAGAATCAACTGATAGTGTTCGAAAATCTTCCAGGTCTGCAAGGAAAAATACATTGGAATTAGAAGAAATAATAGAAATTGATGTCGATGATTCAAATTCGTTTAAAATACAAAAGGAGAATGTGTCGTTAAACGAGGAACTAATGAATAAAGGTATATTAATACAAGAATCAAAAAGAAATCGAACAGAAAGAGCAATCTCATATGATAATCATAGTGATGTGGAGTCGAATGCATCCGATAGAAAAGTAAGTTCAAAAAGATCTAGTTCTGTATCGAGTAAAGAATCGACTCCAGTGTTACAATTTAAAGCACCTCATAATAAGGATAATCAGGAAAATTTAGAATCTTTAAAATTTACTTTGAAAGAAACAAAATCCAATAGATTTGTAAAAATTCAAAAATTCGAAATTGGAAAATCTGATGATGTAGAATCATTAAAATCTATCGAAGTTGATACTTCAGAGTCTGAAGAAATTGATGTTTTGAAGTCTACTGATGAAGAAACGAAAGATGATACTTTGAAAGTATTAATGGAAGAAAAAGATAAATCAAAATCACCTATTTTAGAAGAAGACGATGTAAAATTGGACAAGGTGGCAATAAGACTCATAGATGATGATATGCTTACATCAGTTGACGAAGATAATTCAAAGTCTACGGAAGAAAATATTGATATAACAACAAACGATATTTTTAATAAAATTCAAAGTGATATAAGCGAAAAGAATTTAATGTTTAATACTAATGACTTACATAAAATAGATCACAGAAGAGATTATAAATCAGTCAAACAAAATATCATAGATTATGAAAATGAAAAATATTTGCAAAAATCGGAAAATGAATCTATCGAGGAAAATATAATTATAACAAACATCGATAATGTTAAAAAAGACATGGTTGAAGAAATTTATAATGATATCGAAAAGGACATTGTTGCATCGGATATAAATGATATTGAAACAAATGTTAGTGAAGATTACAGTGATCACAGTATGCCTGAATCGTTAAAAGATAAGTATATATCAAGTAAACAATTACTTTCATATAAATTCAAATCTCGAAAGTCTAAATTTTCTTCAAATAAAAAATCTAGAAAGTCTAAAAATAAAGATTCTTCGGATGATATTATTGTTTACGATTCATCAGATTCAGAAGTTACTAAATTTTCAGAACAAGTAAATATAACTTATACTTGTACAATATGTGATAAAATATATGAAAATAAGTTTATTGGCCTTCAGCATGAATTAACACACATGAAGACTTTAGAAATAAAGTTAAAGAAAGTTCAAATACCTAATCCAAATAAATCTTTCAACGAATCTGATATCGAGTTACAAATTAGTTCGAAGGATAATACTTTTCACTCTGATTCGACGGACGAGGTATTAGCAATAGATCAGAATGAAGAAAAAAATGAAAATATAATAAAAATTAAAGAACAAATATTGAAAGGTGAAAAACACGAAAATAATATAGATAATAATAAGAAGGAAGAAGCTATTGATGAACAAATCATAAAAGTATCCAGCTTAACAAATATTAATATAGACACGACTCAAAATAATCATAATGAAACGAGTAATACATTAAACGAAGTTGAGGAAAGTATCGAAAGAACCAGAATAGAAAAAGAAACAAAAATTAATGACATTGATGAAGAGAAAGTTGAATTAATAAAAAGTGTACAAGGCAATGAAGTAGAAGACATTAGTAAACAACCGATAAGAAAATTATCAAAAAAAAGCGAAGCTAAAAGTAAAAGTGACAAAAAATCTAGAGGGAAAAGAAAAATCATAAATGAAAATGTTGAGCTTGAACGAGAAATGACAAGCGCAGTTGAAATTCAGTCTGATAAAATTGCAGAGGCTGTTCAAGAAACTCTCAATGACATGGCAGAATTACATGTAAAAATACAAGAATCCAACCCTGTAAAGGTACCTGAATTAAATAAAATATTAAATAGTGATGAATCGGAAATTGAAAAGAAGAATGAAATTACAGAGTTGGAAACTATTAATGAAGATAAAAATGAGAATCCAATTATGCAGTTGACTGAGAAAAAAGAGTGCGGTAGCACTATGGAATGTGATGATGCTATTCAAAGAGAAATAATGCAGTCTGAAAAGGTTATATGCGAAACGGTTAATGAAGGACGAGAAATTGTACATGAAATGGAAAGTTCAAGTACCGATGTATTAAACGAATCATTTAAAGAGGCAGCGGTGGACCTTGAAGTGAAAGTTATGAAAGAACCGTATGATGAAATTATAGATAAGTCGAAAAAAGTAGAGGACGATGAAGCGGAATCGATCAAAGACGTAGCTAACTTAGATAGTCAAATAGTCGATATTATAGCAGACAATGTCGAGTGTAAATTATCAAAATCAAATGGCACTGTTGAGATAGAGGAAGCAGTGGATTTGAATGGGAGCGACCGTGAGAACGAATGTATCATCGATTCTCCGACAGATGTAAATGTTGAGTCCGGAACTGAAATCGACAATGCAATGTTGAATAGGCTGAGCGTAGAAAAGGACGATATTTGCTTAGGACAAGATAATAACGAGACAGTTGGAGTAACTAACGAAGCCGATGGTAATAACACCGAGGACGAAGAAGCCTTGGCTCAAGAAAGTTTAGAAGAATTAATGCAGCGTGGTGGACTTCAAATAATTGACGAACTCGCCGAATCAGTGACAGACGGCGACGAGGAAAGTGAGAAAGATGTGAATTTAAGTTCGGAGAAAGAGAATGTCACGGAGAAGGAGATTGAAATTGATAACGAGTTACAGATTAAAATATCTGACGCCGAGTGTACAGAAATCCTGGAAATCAGCAACAAATCATTATCCAAACAAAAGGAAGTCGATAACGGGGTATTAGGCGAGAATCAAATTATCCAAGATGTTGACGTGGTCGAGGAGGTAATAAACGACGATGAGCAACCCCATGGAAACGTCGTGCAGGAGGTCGAGGTCGAAAGCAACGGTAATTGTGTAAACGTAGCTAATAATGTCGTAAGTCAAGCTTTAACCGACGTCTTCAATATGGCAACTGTCGACATTTCAAAGCGTTTGGATTTACAAACCGATCCGATTTCCGACGAGGAAACGGAAGTAATACCGGAGACGGTTGAAAATATATCGAGAGAGATTCGCAACAGTCAAGACATGCCTTCCCTCGACCCTATTGATGAAATTAATGACGATTAATAACTGTCATTTGAAAAAAAAAACAAACAAAAAAAGACAAACAAAAAAAAACAAACAAAAAAAACTAGTCTGAATCGTATAATGAAAATTCGTTTTTGTATTTTGATTTTTCTTTTATTTATTTTTGTAATCCCTTAAACAAATGTTGACATTCCTATTTTGGACTTCAATTTCAACTCCTTGTTTATTTTACTATTGCTTTATCAGTTATTTCATACATTCACAAATATCATTTATTAACAATACAATAATTACATTATACTTAATTATTTTTATTTTATAATCTTGGTATTAATATAATGCAGAGCTCGATTGAATTTCAATGTACTATATATGCAATTATATTTATCAATTAAATTTTTAAAACCATTTGATCGTCGATTAATGCTAGTTGTCGTTTATGATTTCTACGACTGACGGTATTTTATTCAATCGATAATTTTAACATTAAGCAAATAATGTAACTCAAGAAAAAATTTAAGCACGATAAATATTTGAGTTTGATTGAATGACAGAGACAAAAAGAAAGAAAAAAAAACCTGTGAACTTTCACGTGCTTTAAATTACGTTTGTAAATAGCAAGAATATACATTACATATAAATAAATATACATACTCTTTGGATACTTAAAGTAGAAATTAAGTATCTGTAAAAAAGAAAAAAAAGCGTTTTACTTCGTTCCTTAAAAAATATGATGCGATCAAATTTTTTTATGTGTACAGTAAGATACGGAAATTCACTTTGTTTAAGAATATTCCTTTTTGTAAATATACACATACTGATAATATAAATGTGAAAATTTAATACTAGTGACGAAGAGTTTTAAATTCGATGATTTATAAAATAATAATAATAATAATAATAATAATAATAGTAGTAGTAGTTGTAGTAGTATTAATGATAATAATAATAATAATAACAACAACAACAACATCAACAACAATAACAACAATAATAATAGTAATGATAATAATAATTATAATAATTGTTATTTATTACTTAAACATTGGGAATAAAATTTAGTGTATAGGGGATATATGAATTTAAAATTTTGTAATTTTGTCAGTGATTAGCAATGCATCGTGTTACAATTAACAATTTGTTTTTAGATAAAATTAGACTTTTATTGGTTAAATATTGGTTTAAAAGTTAATCTCGATAGTTCAGAATAACACTTGAATATAAAAATAAAATTTTTAAACTCCAACGATATATTATACATTTTTTATGAACTTCGATAAATTCTAATATAAATTTTAACTATAAAATAAGCACTTAAATTGTATAGGTATAAAAGCCAAAAAAACAAAAGCATAAGAAAAAGCCGAGAATAAATACTCAAATGTAGAGTGTGAGTTAAATTTTTATCTGCAGCTTTTCAGCTCATCAAAAGAAAATCGAATACTTTATCCTAAATATTGTAGTGCGATTATTATCTGGGCCATCCATCCAATATTTTTCTAATAAAAAGCAATATTCTCATGACTGATTCTATTTTTCTTGACGCTCAAGTCGTTCACCACCATTTAGTATCCCAATAATAATTCGATAAAGTGCCTCAAACATATTGAATCTCCATTAATTTTGCGAAATCTATTTATTGATACCATAAAAACATACTATAAACAAATGTATTGTATAATTTTTTTTTTAATTTCGCACTTTATTTTCCAGTTGTTTGTTTCGATTTTCCGGCGCAGTGTTAGTCTAATATCGGACTTATCGACACCCGCACCCCAAGGTGTCGAGTGAGAAAGGAGAGAAAGAGAGGCGAATAGGAGTGAGAGAGAGAGAAAGAGAGATCTTCGAGATCTTCGTGTGCGTTAACCTTACGGTCGATTTCTCCCCTACGAGCCATGCCAGGGATACAGCCGGGAAGAAACGCGTCATCGTCTTTTGTCGTAAAAGATCTTACGATTACATTTCGAACTCCACGGATGTGTCGTCGTCTCCTTGAGTTTCAGGCCGAACGAAATATTGAATATTCGGCGCGTGTACGTACAATGTATGATAAAATAAAAAAGTAAAGTACATGTAGTAGATTTATATCAGAATAGCTCGACAACATTGCAAAAGAAAGCGTTCGTTTATATTTTCAAGAGATTTCTTTCGTTTGGATTAATTTTGTTGAAAGAAGTCGTGCCTCATAGTAACGATTCATTTAATTGAGCCTATTTTGACAATTAGCAATTCAATTAATTCTTAACTAAAATGTAATGTGATTTTATGAAACAAAAAAAGAAAGAAAAAAAGAAAAAAAAGTGTAATACAAAACAGATATTTACTTATTGTTATAATGTAAATTGTAGCCTATGCTACTATTAAATTGATTATATTAAAGCTGTCCGGGCAAAAGTGTTAGTAAAAAAATTAATTACTTTATTGTAAAAACATTTTTAAACCGATAAATTACTATATAAATATATAAATATATATACACGTATACACACATACACGCACGCGCGCACACATACATACATACATACATACATACATATATACATATATATACTGTTGATTATCAAATTTATGATACTTATTCTTAAATTATGAATTATCGGATTAATCAAGTATAGAGAAATATTTTCTTAACGTCTCAAACACGAAGACACATTAGATTTAAATATTATAAATAATTATGACAAAAGTTATGCTTTCTTTAGTCAGTAATCTCGTAGAATGATTAATGATGATGAATAATTGTAAATCTATTATATATTATATATATATATATATATATATATATATATATAGCGGCTTCCCGACAAATCTAAACAAAAGTAAACCCATGAAAATTCTAACGAGAGCCACTAAAATTAATTGGGGGAAAAAATTTGGTTTCCCATTCTTATGAATAACGTACTTTTGTCAGGCATCGGCTTTTCCTCAAAGGGTTCACCGCGATCCTTCCAATTCAAGATTTGCAATGTTGCATCGACGTTGCCGCCGATACATTGCACTAACAAGGCTTGAAATGCGTGTAGCAACTCCTGACCTTGGGCGAGAATAATGCAATATTGCAGTACTAATGAGATATGCAGCCCCTTCTGCCTCTACCCCACAAATTAACGAGAGCCAAGATGAACTGCTGACGTATGAAACTTTTCTTTAAAACCACAAGTTAAATGCGCCTGTATGTGCATATATATATATATATATATATATATATATATATATATATATATATATATATATACACTACTGAGTATAAAGAGACG